TAGTCCTTATCTATTTTCACATATATTTAATAAACTACCTCAAAAAGAAGAGGCATATCACGAATAAAGAGAACTATTGAATCCTGACTTTGTCATTCCTATCTTCAAGGCAGGTGGGATTGTGCAACATAAAACATGTTTTTAAAAATGGAAGACAACACCAAAACTGTTGCAGAGTTGAGGGGTATTCGACATGTCCAGTGAGAAATACAGGCAGAAATTACTCTAAGTTCCCACAAGTCTTCTAGAAATACAAATAAATATAGACAGAGAAAAGTTAGAAAGCGTGCTTTCTAGGGGCATAAAATCCATGGAGAAGGAAGCAGAGGAAAGAAGTTCTCTGTGTGTTTCTCAGTGACTGCAGCCAGGTGGAGAGATGGAAGGCGAGTTTGCTGAGGAGAGGGACAGAGAGAGAGTGCAGGAGAGCACAGGGAAGACACAGGGCAGGCATCAGCACTCAGCACAGGATACTCTGTAAGGGACACCAGGGCACACTGGGGGAAGAACTGAGGAAAGGGCATTGAATTGTGCAATTAGCACACCTCGTAGTCGGTTGCCAGGCGTCTCCATGCTCACAGCTGTAACCCCCATGAGATCACTGCAGGAAGAACTTTTCTCCTGGGTCAAGCTGAGAGAAAAAAGAACCATTCAGGAATCTTCAAAAGCAAAGCAATGCTGATTGAAAGGGGCAGCCACAGACCCGTGGCACTCCATGTGTCAGGCACAGCACTGTATATGCACAACTTTATGAAAAAAGCAAGATTATCCCACTTTACAGTGACGAATCTAAAGTTCAGACAGGGTGAGTAACATACCTAAGGTCACACAGTTAGTAAGGGATAAAGTCAGTATTCAAGCTCAGGTTTACCGGACTTAGAAACCGATGTGTTTTCTATTAGCTTATGTGTACCAGATGACAAAGCTGTTTTTTGCGACCTGCACTTAAGGTGTGGCTTTACAGAGCCCCGGGCAGAGGCCAGGAGGGAAGGGAGGGCACAGAGGAGGTGGCTCTGTCCAGAAGACCTGAGGCTGGCTACACACCCTCAACCCCACCAGAGCCAGGGGGAGAAGGTTGCATAGGTACCATGCGGAAGTAGCTGCAGGAGGAAGTCGATAAATGTCCTGATGACTGGGTTAATGGAGTTGATGAATGAATGAAGCAAACATAGGTAGAAGTTAGAAATACTGCACAGCACTGGAGTGGTTAACAGTACGAAGTGTGAAGACAAATTTTGAATGAGTTATTTAAGCTCTCCAAGCCTCAGTTTCCTCATCTGCCAAATAGAAATAATGGCTGTTACCTCATAGGATCTGAGTGATTGTTAAATGACTAATAGAAAGTGCTTCTTAGCAGTTGACCATCTGTGGCAATTTTTATCATTACTTTATTATAATTCTTATCATTGTAATTCTTATCATTACTATACTATCATGATCACTGTTACTACTGAGGGGCATAATGAACTCCAGGAAACCTGGGGTTCCTTTCATTCCCAGCAGACCCTCACACTGGCCTCTGGCCACTCATTTTTTTCTCCATCAGGGTAACTCTAGTTTATTTTCTCATTTTATCACAGGAAAAAAAAGTTGAAAGGAGATTTGCCTGAACCTGAAGACTCTCATCACGAGCCTGACCCATGGGCTCCCTCAAGAGGCCCAGACACAGCAGCCTGGGCCTGGGGCACCTGCAGGGAGAGGGGCTGAGATGACCAGAAGCCCTGTGGTCTGGCCAGTGTCCAGGGGGTGGAGCCCAAGAGCCCCAGCCGCCACCTTGCTGAGGGCCGATAAAGACAGTATCTCCACCTGCAGAGGGTGAGAGGCCAGCCACATCTGTATAGCTCTCTGTGGGGATTATTTTAAAATTCTGTGCTCACAAAAGTGCACCTGAGTATGTTAGATTCTTTTTTCCCCCATTTTCTTCACTGAATGGAGAAATATGACTCAGATTGTAGGAACTGAGTAGAAGTAGCAAAGTTGGAGTTCTGAAAGACTAGAAAGCAATTCACCTAAGCTTTTTCCTGGAAACTTTCCTTCCATAGTAGAAAAAACCCACAAAACTGAAAGTGAAGAAGAATGGGAAAGGAAGGAATTTTTAAGTTCAATTTCCATCCCCCTGCTATGGAATGTTTGCCTCTTAATTTTTAAAAGGCAGCAGATTTCATCCTGGGATTCTCACCCCACAAGAGGAACAGTCCAGGGAAACACTTGTCTTTTTGCTTTCTCTGGGCCAGGAAAAGACCATTTGTTTTACAGAACACAATCTCCACACCCCTTGTCCTCCCGCCTCCCTGCACACCCCTCCGGGCCCTGCTGTTCCCACACCTGTCCAGAAACTGTCAATTCACAAACACTCCATCCGGGAGCAGCCACTTCAAGACTGAGTCCACCCTGCAGCAACCTGTCCTGTGGAGTTTAGTTTAGGTGACACTATGTAGATCTTTTGGGGCTGTAAATCTTTCCAAAAATATTTCAGGGTGGGGCTTAGGGGCTAGAGGAAATGGCAGGAAGGAGAAAAAGATGAATTTTCGCCCCGAGCAAAGACCTCAGAAAGCTGGGGGAAATGATAGCAAAGCTGTTGGCACCAAATCAAGGAAAAGAAAGAGACATCAGGTCCCAAGCCAGGGACCAGTTCCCCAGCATTGCGTTGGCACTGGTGGCTGAAGTGGGAGGAGAAAGCCAGCACACAGATATGCAGAGAGGCTCCAGTATAAAAGGGCTAGGTGCCTCCCTGGTACACCATCTCTGCAGCACTCTCCCTTTCAGCAGGGCCTGGCAGGTCTTTATCAGGCGGTGCCTTCTGCCACTGAGAAGCCACAGGAGGGTAAGTATCCCCCTCCTTTCTATTAATTTCCAACTGCTCACTGTTGAAGTGTGGCTTTTTCGTCCTCTCTAGTTTTTGCTCTTTTTTCCCCCCTTTTCTTCACTGAATGCAGATATATGACTCAGATTGTAGGAACTGAGTAGAAGCAGCAAAGTTGGAGTTCTGAAAGACTAGAAAGCAATTCACCTAAGCTTTTTCCGGGAAGCTTAAAAGTAATGACTTTACTTGTGATGTATGAAAGAGGGCTCTCCACAAGGTTTCCACTCTGCATGCTAAATGCTTCCGACTTCATTAGCACTAGCGGGCGTTTCAGGGTGCACTCTTGAAACGAGTAAGTAAAGTTGCAGACAAGCATTTATGTGGCTCAAAGGGAGAAAGAGGGGTAGCGGGAACGGCCCTCTCCCCTGACGAGTTTATGGGCTCTTCTGCCTGTGCTGCTGTACTGAAAGGAATGGGTTTGTGTGCATGTACGGAGAACCATTCAGGCACAATTAAAGCTGTGACTTTGGCAGCTTCCTGCAACTGCATTTTCTGGCATGTAAAGTTTAAGCCTTTAGAAGTGGCTCCTTCTGAGATGGCAAGTGTTTTCATCCAAGGCAGGGATAACTGACAGCATTTTCTTTGTTTCTGATTACAGCTTTAACAAGAGTGGAGGCCTTCCTGCCACGTACAATAAGAAACTACCTAAAATAAACATTATAGTAAGTACCAAATAAATGTCAGTGCTGAGAGCTTTTTTAGTATGATAGAGAATGAGTGTTTCTGTGTTTTCTTCTACATCCTTATCTAAAACTTTGTATTATTTTTGAAGTGATATTTGGTGCATGGAAAATTTAAAGACTCTCAGGTCTCTCCAGTTGCACAAATTTTTAATGTATGCTGACAAGAGAATGAGCTTCATTTCATGTAATAAAATAGGAATATCACTTGAATTGGAATCTTGATGTTGCCTCATGCTAGAATGCTTAGCAGTGCCTTGCTCTGTTAGTAACTGGGCTGTGAGAAGCTTTTGATCTCCTGCAGGAAAACCTATCGGGTGTAGCTTCCAGAATATTCCTAGGTTGTTGACTTCGGCACAAGCAAGCTTTGTTGTAGCCATGTGGGTGATACAAGAGGGTAAGACTCCCTTTGAGACATGGGGAGATGTTTATCAGAGGGTAACGGCTTCCTGTCAGGGCCTATGGTGACACTGGGGCCGGCAGACCTCTTTCTTTGCTGTTGTTCAGCTCCCATGTAGGTGATCATACAGGCTGTTGGGTCTGGTACGTCTCTGATCCCTGGCCCCTGCTCCAGGCCTCCTGAACAGACTGTGCTCTCCTTCAGTATGTGACTGAAAAAAATCCTGGGTGGCATTAACGTGCCCGGCTCCAGATTGTAAGACAAAGAGCCAGCTAGGTTTGCCCATGCCATGGGGCTCAGTCTGCCTGTCACTTGCCGGGTGAAGTTCATTGGCCCCCTCTCTTCTAGAAAATCAGTTTTCTAGAAAAAGAAGGCTTGACCTGAGCAGTCTCTAAAATCTCACCTCACTTTCAAATCTTTTCTGATTCTTAGGTCTAAGAAAGTGCTGGTGTTGGGGATGCATGTGATCCTAGTGGTAGGAGAACGCACACACAGAGTGAGGGTGGCGGAGATAGGAATCCACACCGAGGGAATGTGATAGTCCCTGATGATCCTTTCCTTCTATTTTTCTTTTCTTTCTTTCTTTCTTCTTTCCTTCTTAACCTAGTGTAAGATGAAATTCTGGCCTTGGTTTTCTTAATATTCTTAAATATTCAAAATGCAGCCCTCAAATACATTGGTTTGGCACATAACTAACCAGATAGTTTACCATGAAGACGTACACACACACACATTTTTTTCCTAAAACACAGCATAAATATTTCTCACAATCACAGATTTTTTAGTCACTCTAGTAAAGTTTTCAAGTTGCAAACCAAACCAATCCAAGAAAGTAAAAATAAAATAAATGAAAGGGAGAGAAAGAAATGTCACCCACAGAATTTTCCTGGAACTTCTAAAGGAAGAATGCTACCCTTGGATGCAATTTAAAAAGACAGAAATTATTGCAACCTGTCACATTTGGTGAACTCAACTAAGAATTGTTTATTAACAAAGTCATATTCAATATTTAATTTTTTTTATTCCAATACCATTTACCAGCCTTTTAGAATGGGCTTTCGCTGGGCATAAAAAGTGCGGCTAGTACCCTACTACAGAAGTAGAACCCACACCACAGCTTCATGTTCTCACATTTGATAAGGAACCAGACAGAACAAGGCTGTTCTACTTGCTGCCTCGGTGCAGGTGCCCAATATGGAGCCGTAATAATCTGTAGAGCCTGAGGCCAGTTCTCTTGCGCCGGTGCAGGCTTCAGAAGGGCCAAGTTCCTGCAGTGAGGACTAGAAGCAGAAGAACCAAAACTGCACCTTGGGCTCTGTGCAACACGATTTTCTACTTTTTTTAAAAGCGAAATAAAACGAACTTTCTACTCTTGCAGCCAGCTCATTGTCTCTCCTCTCTCCCACCTCAAGCCTGTGCATGAGAGGGTCCATGCCAGGCAGCTTTCCCTCATAGGAACCACCTGGGCGTGGCCCCCTCCCTATATGGCCTTTCTCACACTCACCAGAATCAGGACTCATCCTGCTGATTCACATATTTTTGCCCTTTGTCATATATGGAGAAAAAAGAAAGATGAATGGACGGTCTTTGGTCGATGGCACTGGTGACGCCAGTCCTGGTCCTCTTTGGACAGACCCTTTTGGAAATAACGCTGGTGAGGCAGACCATGAAGGCTTCGTCCAGCTAAGTTTGGCCCTGACTGATGGGCAACAAGAGCAGGTATGCTTCCTTCCTGCAGCCTCTGTCTCGGGGAACCTGGGAGCCTGTTCCAGGCATGGTGTCTCTTTTCTGAGCAGACCTGGGAAGTGGAGATCAGCAAGCTTTGCTGAGTGTGGGACTGTGGCTAAATCAGTGGCACAGGGAGGCCCAGGCCTAAAAGTTACAGGACAGTCCCCGTGCTCTAGGGCCGGACGACTGATCTGGGCATCTTGATAGCCTTAGAAACACCAGGAAAGTATAGCCTAGGGTTTTATGTTTATCTTCCTCCTTTTAGAATTCCTTTTACTTTACTGTCCTCGCCTCTCAGTTGAATTGTAATGGCATTTTTGGTAAGGACTGAGTATTAATTAGAAAGTCTCTCTCCAGAGCCCTGCATTTCCTTCCCATGTAGGATATGTGGCTTCTGGGTTTCCTAAAGAAATGCAAGTCTTCTAGCTTGATACAATTCTAGAGTGAACTATTGCTTTCTTCTAACCAGTTCTCACGCTTGAAGCAGGTGTCAGGTTTCCCAGGGACTACACAAGGATTCACAGTTCAGAATAAATGAATAAAGGATTCTCGAAGCCTCTGGAATGCAGCTATTTGCTCAAGTCAGGAGAAGCCCCCTCTTTCTATGATCTCATAGCCTTCTAACATGCAGGTATTGGAGACACAATCTCAATAAGCCTTTTCTAAGTTGGGCTGGAGATTTGGATGAAAAAGTTAGTCTTCACTTAACTTTGAGTAGCTCACCAGGGGACTCAGGCCATTCAGGTTCTTGATCAAGCCTGGCCAGTTATGTTATCAGGTTTCGAATCTCTATCTCTAAAATCTCTGAAGAGATAGAATATTTAACACTTTCTAAAATAAATATATGCTGGAAATTTTGAGAACATGAATTTGTTTATTCTGGAATTTGTTTTTACCATGGATGGAAAATGCCACTTTGGTGTTCTCCTTCACAGCTGCCACTTTTAGAACTTGATATATTGAGTTCTAGAAACTCAAAGCAATTGTATTTTGGAATTTCTCATCATTGCCTGAGTGGAAGCCCAATGCTTCTCATGCCTGGGGTTTTGCAAATGGATCACTGAAGCCTAGAGAAAGGTTTACCAGGCAGTATTTTGAATTATGGGATTTAAAGAGGGAGATAGCTGAAAAGAAGGAACGATACCACTTAGCTTGTGAAATAAAAGACAATTTTTCATACATACTTAATTACTCAGTTTTACAACTTTAGCTATGGAATTACTTCAGTTCCGCTGAGACTTAGTTTGGGCTCCTGGCCTCCTGAAGTTTTCAATATAGGAAATTTTTAACACGAAGCTTCATTAGAAGACTGACAAATGTTGGTTTCTGACACCGGTTTGCCAAGAATGACCTTAGTCTGGAATGCATTGTATAAAGGGCTCTCACTTTGTGCAATGATTAATCATTATTTAAAAGCAGGATGGTTAATTGGGCAGTGAATAATACAATTGAAGTACAATTGTTACTCACTAATAAATCAGGAGAGTTTATTTCTATACTGGAATTAATAGAAACTTAACTTAGAATCAGGATGTAAAAACAAACAAAAAAAGAAATAGACATGGTTTTATTATTTGTTAATAGCTATTGTTGGACTTAGTAAATGGAACAGGAGGGCCAAAAATGGCAGGGGCTGTGGCTTCACCATCCCACATTATACCTTTCAGAGGCTGATGATTTTGAGGTTTTCCTGTTTCCCACTGACCTGGCTGTGCTCTGGTCTTTTCCTGCACACTCGGGGTGGTGTGACTGTTGCCTTTGTCCCATTGCCTACCTCTGGGACTTTGTCATACATTGGCATTCTTTTATATCCATCAGCACTATGATGGATCATTTTTTAATGTACCTTTTTTTGCCTATAGGGGACCATATTTTCATGATGTTGGTGTTTTGTTACACACTTATCACAAGAAATATTGTCCCCTAATGAGCACAGGTTATGATTATGCCACTCTTATTTTCCCGAAGTATGCTACTATAATTAAGCCCTGTACATTCTTACATCATAAAATCCTGAGATTATAACTCACTGGGTTTTGGCAGTATTGTCCATTTTAAACTTTCTTAGTTTTAACACCTTTGTGGATAATCATTCTTTCCTATTTTTACACATTTAAATAATAATTTCCAAAAGTAAAGACAGTTGCATGAAGTGAGAACAAATTCAAGCAATCTTGGACTTGAAGAGTAGGGGTGAGGGGTTCTTAGACTGTTGATACACACAAACTGTTTTAAAACTTTCTTCCTTTTCAAAGTCTTAAATAAAACTGATATTTTGAAAAGCAAAAATTTAACTTTAAATGGCTACTTGTCTTAGAAAGTAGTTGATCAGTTTGTACTAGGGAGTGGTTACTTTGTAACCTGATTTTTTGCTCCTTTCATTGACAGAATGAAGCACAATCCCTTGATTTTAGCTCTTTCTGTACTGTTATTTGGCTTGTAATATTGACATTAACTGTTTTTCTTTCTTCTTAACTACACTGAGCTCCCTGAGTGCAGGAAGTAAATGGTTCAATAAATGTATGTTGAACTAGAAACTAAACCTTACAACCCAGAGCTTTCTTGCGACATAGCATTGAAGACGTTGGTGCCAAAAAGTAATGTGGAGTTTAGGTTTGGGTAATAATCTCCATGGCAATATTTCAGGAGAAAAATGGCACTTTCTTAGTCCCATAAGATAGTGTGGTCCAGATGAATGCCTTTATACTCAGTTTTTTGTGGGTACTGTGAGCAAGTCCTAAGCTGGCCAACCTGGAGAGTTCTGCATAGGGTATTTATGAGCTCTGTCCTTCCCTTAAGGAGCCAGAGGAAGAAGAAGCCATGGAGGATAATCCGACAATGGTTAAATTAGACCCGACTGAAAGCCAAATCTCATCACATCGAGGGAGAAGATGTATCCCCAAAGCACTTGGCTATGTCACTGGTGATATGAAAGAATTTGCCAGATGGCTTAAAGGTATTTATGCATTCATCCCTTGGACAGAGGGGAGAAGCAGCTGTGGAGGAAATGGTTAGCTAATATTTCCATAGATATCCAATATATTGCCCCCTATTTTTCTACTTTTTATCTTCTCACTTGAAAGCTCCCTCACTTTTCTTCATGGGAACAATGGCAAGGGGCAGGGTTCTACTCCTATTCATGGAAAGTTCCTGGCTCCATCTTCTAATTTCAGTAATAAAAATAAAATTTTTGCTTGCTAAAATTTTACTATAAGTAAGTCATGCCTTTGATTTAGCAGTTAGATGCTTCCTGAAGCTTAGAGTACAGTAGGGGCAGTGTGGGTTGAGCATAAAGAAATAAAGTGATTTTGGGGATCTCTGTGTCATTAAAGGGGCAAAGGATTCAGAGGAAAGTAGCTTCCAGGAGTATAAAAAATGATTCACGTCCAGGAGATTGTGATGATTTGTGGTGGGTGCCGGAGATTCAGCTGTCTTGTTACTTTCTCAGCTGTGTTCATCTCCTCTCTTCCAGACAAACCTGTGGTGCTCCAGTTCATTGACTGGGTCCTTCGGGGTGTATCCCAAGTGGTGTTCGTCAGCAACCCCATCAGTGGGATCCTGATTGTGTTAGGACTGCTGGTCCAGAACCCATGGTGGGCTCTCAATGGCTGTGTGGGAACAGTGGTCTCCACTCTGACAGCACTCTTGCTCAGCCAGGACAGGTAGGCATATCCCTCTATGCCAGCTCTTGGTTCCCTTTCTGAGACTCTAGCCAACCAACCGTTGTGGGAAGTAGTAACAGAGCCACACCTTACCCAGCAGAAACAACCTTTATTCCACAGAGCTTTTCCTATTTGCCTTGAGTCAGAGGCCAGGGGGTCATTTTCAGCCTCTTATTCTTGTCATCTGAATAAATGGCCAGACTAAATCATGCCAGCCTCTCATGGTAGTGTGTGAAAGCCAGAACTAAGTTATAAGTAATCCCTGGGAGAGGTTCTAAAGAGATCTTCTTTAATGACTGTGAAAATTACTTTTCATTAGCATTTGGTTCATTTGGGTAAAAATGCATATGAATTCTTTAAAAGTCCTACTGGCTTAATAGCCTGCTTTATATCTTGTTTCCATCAGTAGTTTATCAAACTCATTTTTCAGAGAATACAAAAGGTCAGCTCAGCTCCTAGAGAAATGAATAGCCACAAATTCTAGGATTGTTCTAGGACTGTGCCATAGCCAGTAGTCCTTCATTGTTTTGATCCAGTGAAATATGACCAACCCCATTTCCTTGGCAGATATTATTCAGAAGCCAAGTTATATTTACATATGTTTGCTTTCAAATCTCTTTTACTTTCCTTGGTCCTAAAAGACGACATTAAAATGATAACCCAAAGTACAAATAATTTAAAGGGCAAAACACAAGAAAAGCAAGAGGGCGATAGGCTTTGCAGACCTGAGAAAGAGAACTAGGGATGAGGGAATGGGAGGGAGGAGAGGAAAGAGAAGAGAAAGGAAAGGAAAGATAATAAATATGTGATATTTATATGTACCAATATCCCACCATAAATATATTCATTATGTATTACAAACATACACTTATTAAAAAATTTTTTGATGACAATTCTCACTGGCTGTGGCAGTATAAACCTGTAATCCCAGCACTCTAAGAAACTGAGGCCAGAGGATCACAAATTCAAGTCCAGCTGGAGCAACTTTGCACCTTACCAAGACACTGTTTCAAAGTTAAAAAAAATAAAAGGGCTGGGGATGTAGCTCAGCGGAAAGCCCCTGGGTTCAATCTCCAGTACTGTTAAAAAAAAAAAAGACCAAATATAATTCTGTTTAAGAGACTACCTGTCTTCCTATCTTTTTGCTTGAACTGACATTCTACACCTGTAGACGTCACCATCCAGTTTCAACTAATCAAACTTAAGCGTCAAAGCTCCAGGCCAGTGGTTTGGGAGGACAAGTCTTTGCAGAGCTCGCCACTGTCATCAAGTGTAGCTACAATTTCTGGATTACACTGACAGGACAGGAACCGCATCACCTCCCACATTCCCTGAAGGATAAGGTAGAACAATGAGTCCCACCTCTAAAGTTCTCATGCCTATGAATGGCCTGACACCACCTCATCCGCTGCACTGGCACCTCCTGTCCCAGTAAGAAACAATCCAAGAAGCTCCTGTGCCAACCCCTCCTGCCCCTGCTGTGTGGCTCACTGGCTGCAGCCCCTGCCCTCAGGCTTTGAACTGAACTGCACCCACTCTTCACTATTTGCATCATCCACAGCTCTTGAAAACATTGTCTTTCAGTTCAGGATTTCAGGGAAATAGAACTGTGATGCTAGACAGTGCCAACTGGTGGTGGGGGCGGCCGTGGGACTTACGCTACAGAAATATTTCCACTTTTCAAGGTTTCTAGTTCTCATTATGAAATAAGAATCGTGTACCTATAGGACAACCTTTTGTTTTTTTTAAAAAAATTCTTTTAAATTAATTTAGTTGGTTGCTACATTTTAGGTATACATAATGTTCATCACATTCATCATAGGGAATTTGTACCTGTTCATGATATATCTTGATTTTTTATTTTCACCCTGAAAATTATATTCAGATTCGCCCTTCCCCTACTCCTCTCTTCCACAGATCTTCCCCTCCTTATTTACAAAATCTTTGCTTCCATTTTTTCCTTTCTTTCTTTTCCTTTCCTTCCTTTCTCCCTCCCCTCTCCCTAGCTTCCCATTTGGACATTTTCTTCCTATTTCACAATATCTATTTTATACTTTGATCCTTATTTACACTTTTACTTTCTCACACCAGAGAAACAATGTGATATTTACAGGAGTGTGTCTAATTTATTTCACTTAAGAATATGGTCTCAAGTTTATCCTTTTTTATGGCTGAATAGTGTTCCATTATATAAGAAAACCACACCTTCTTTATCCATTCATCAGTCAACGGGCATTTGGGCTGTTTCTGAGATTTAGCTATTACTAACTGCGCCGCTATAAATATGGGTGTGCATATACCACCCTACAGAACAATCTTCAGAAGTGGGGTCAAATTCCAAACAGAAAGTAGTTTCAAAAGAGTTAGGGGCTACACATGCAAATGATCATGTGCCAAGTAAAAGAAAAGTAATTGTTTCTTTTTTTGGCAATAACTTGGAAATGTAGCTTTAGAGACAAAAACACAGAAGCTCAGGAACATGAAAATATATGCTAAATTGGAAGATTACTATTTATAGGCAAGGGAAGTTACATTTCAGGAATCATGTATCTCTCACCAACAAATCAGATTTAGGAAACAACTTCATATGCAAAAAGCTCTGTTCAACTCAGAGGCCCTTAATGACTTAAATACTTCCCAAATGAAAGACTGAAAGCAGATGCTGGAGACCTGTCCTTCACTGCAACACCTGGAGGGGGTTGTTCTGCATGCGCTTTTGTAGTTTTAGCTCTATAGATTTTATTTCTTTTTATTAGTATTTGCATGGTGATTAGTAGGCTTTGAAACACATGTCCAAATATCATTTTGTCTTCAAATGCAAAGCTGATCTAAAAGTTACAAGTCTTATTAACATGTGAGTCTAACCCAAGTCCCCCCAACAACGTCCCTGTCGCTCTCTCTCTCACAGGTCAGCCATAGCTGCTGGGCTCCACGGCTACAATGCCACGCTGCTCGGGATACTCATGGCTGTCTTTTCAGACAAGGGAGACTATTTCTGGTGGCTGTTATTGCCAGTATCTGTTATGTCCATGACTTGGTAAGTTGTACTAGGTTTTCAAAATGTCTTTTAAAAAATTATAGAGGGAGAAGAGAATGAGAAGTTGGTATTTAATAAGTTTCAGTTTTATAAAATGAAAAATGTTCTGTGAGTGGATGACCATGGTGAATGTACATAATGCTGTCAAACTACACACTTAAAAATAGCTATCTGAGCCGGGCATGGTGGTGCAGGCCTGTAATCCCAGCACTCAGAAGGCTGAGGCAGGAGAATTGTTGCAAGTTTGAGATCAGCCTTGGCTACAAAGTGAGCTCAAGTCCAACCTGAACTGCATAGCAAGACCCTGTCTCAAAAAGAAAAAAAAAAAAAAAAAGCTTATATGGCAAGTGAATAATTCTTAAAATTATATTCAGAGCCAACCATGGTGGCACACACCAGTAAACCCAGCATTATGGGAGGCTGAAGCAGGACAACTGCAATGTTGAATCCAGCCTGGGCAACTTTGTAACTCAACAAGATGCTGTCTCAAAATAAAAAATAAAAAAGACTGGGGAATAGCTCTATGTGAAAGTCCTAGGTTTGGTCCGTATTATCACACACACAAAAGTGTGTATTTCCTTACAGTCTACTAGTTTGGTCTCTTATTCAGTTCTGATACATGTCCACAACAGCTTCCCCTCATGTGGAGGTTCTTGACCTCGGCTGCACCCTGAGCTCTCCAATGCCTGTGACCCCCAGCACATCACACACACTCACAACCAGCAAGATTCTAATACAATCGGTCTGGGCTGTTGCCTACACGTTGGAGTTTTAAAATCTTCTTATAAGTACAGTCACGTTATCATCCCTTCCCTACATCAGTGGTCCTCAAACACGAAACACAGATGGGTGCTGTCCCTCCCCAAATTTCTGTTTCAATCTGTCAGAGTGGGGCCTAACAATTTGCATTTCTATTAAGTTACCTGGTTACACTGATGTGATTGTTCCAGGAACCCAGCTTTGAGAACCTATATGAACTCCCCTAACCCTCTAGTTTGAATCCCCATCAATGTTATTCCACTGTCCTGGGGATTGAACCAAGAGCCTTAGTGCTGAACTACATCTGCAGCCCTTTTATTTTGTAATTTTTATTTTAAGCCACTACATTACCCAAGCTGGGTTCAAACTTGCAATCCTACTGCCTCAGCCTCCCAGCGTGCTGGGACATCATCTTAAGTCCTTTTTCTAGAAGCAAACATTTTCATTTTTCTATGTCACATTTAGAATATCATATGCACACAAGCAGAAAGCACAGCCCTTGATAGTGTCTGCAGAAGGGCCCCCGCCCTAGTTGTACTTACAGGTGTGCCCCAGGAGGCAACTTGGGGCCTCCTGTGCAGAACAGGCTTGAGAGAAAGAGCTGTAGTCAGTGGGTGCTCAACATATAACCCAGGAAATCTGGAGTTTTCATCTGAGATAGTGGCATCTTGATTGGGTGGACAAGTGAGAGAAACATGAGGCTTGGAGACCATTTAACCAATGCTAAATCGGCAGGCCAGGAAACTGAAGCCAAGTGCTTTGCCTAAAGTTATGAAGTTTATCAATTGTTCGAAGACATGAACTCCGCCCCCTGGCTATAACCTCTTTTCCCTTCAATCCACACCACCTGAATCCGTCCTTGAACAATTGTTTCCTTCCTGAAAATAGATAAGTAAACTAAAGACTTGTGACATGATATGCGCCAAAAACCCGATAACAGTCACTGCTAGTTAGGAGGAAAGGGACTATGATCAAAGTGGTGTTCACAAGGCACCTTGACTATGGAAGTTATGTTTTAAGTGCTTCAAAAATATTTTTTAGGGGCTGGGGATTTAGCTCAGTGGCAAAGCGCCTGCCTGGCAAGCGCAAGGTCGTGAGTTCGATTCCTGGTACCGGAAGAAAAAAAAAATTTTTTTTAAACCTTACTAAATAATGCACTCCAAGTAACTTCAGAGTATAATTTTCCAAAAATCAAATAAGCAAAGAGTAGGGTTGGGGCTGTATTTTGTCACAATTGTCTCTAAGGTAAGACTTATTCCAGGTTTTCTTTTGGTGGAAAGCTGGCCAACAACACTTGAGGGCTACACTGGCAGATGGAACAAAGCTCCCCATGGGACAGAGACTCAGTCAGTCAGCCTGGTGCTTCGTCACATGCGGATTCTTGTCTTCTGTTCTATTGCAGCCCCATTTTCTCAAGCGCATTAAGTTCGGTGTTCAGCAAGTGGGATCTCCCTGTCTTCACTCTCCCTTTCAACATGGCATTGTCAATGTACCTTTTGGCCACAGGACACTACAATCTGTTCTTTCCGAGTCAACTGATCACACCTGTAAGCAAGGTCCCCAACATCACCTGGTCTGACCTCAGTGCCCTGGAGGTAAGATACACTCTTCTCACATTCCCCTCTGTCTCTGGAATACACCCATGTCCTCCTGGTTCTAGACACTTATCTCTTCATTGCCTTTCTGCCTTCATCTTGCTATCTAAAACATTTGTTCTACTCCAGGGCTTTGGGGGCCTATGGGATTTTTTTTTTTTTTTTCACAAAGTCTCACTGTGTATCAGGTTGGCCTTGAACTCTCCATGATCCTCCTGCCTCAGTAGTGCTAGGATTAGAGACATGCACCACCACAGCCAGCTCCTAAAGGATTTTCTTAAGTAACTATTTGATCAAAGCTAATTTCCCCCTCTTTTTCTAAAAATCTGCTGTATCAACTCCAGGTGTAGCTCCAGGGAAGTCACACTGCTGTGAGCTTGGCCTTGTGTAGGTAGTGTGATAGGGGCCGGCACTCCAGGCAGGTGGCCACTTACCTGGTGTTAAATCTTTTGCAACTGTTTCCCCAGCCCAAGGAACTGGATGCTTACTCCTAGAGCTCATGGCAGAACCTCAGTCCTGCCCTTTCTTATGGTGTATGTCACAGAGTAAGTACAATAACTCAGGCTTTGCAGCTTTTATAGCGTCAGAATCACCTGGGGAGTTATTTAAATACCAAAACAGGCTCCAATTTCAGACCCCTGAATCAGAATCTCCAGACATGGAGCCTGAGAACCTGTATTAACAAACTCTCCAAATTGTGATACGCACCAGAGCTTGAGAACTGTTGTATCACAGCATGCATACTTTCCACCTCTTTGCAGTGGGCATGCCGAGAGCATGCACTTTTGAAATCATGGTTAACCACATCAAATTCTAGGTCTTCCTGCTGGTGTTTACATAGCAAATCCGCTTAAGTTTTCTTGAACCTTGAGAACAAGAGAGTACTTGAAGTCAGAAGCAATCAAAGATGCTTTACCCTTCTTAATGTGCAAAGGACTAGTTCCTCCACTGTCAGGTTACAAAACACCCTTTGCTGCCCTCCTTGCTGAGTGATCAAAACACAGGACGAGTTCACATAGACTTTGCTTTAGGGTTTTTGCCCAGAAGACGAACTGGAAATAGCTCAGGGGGGAAATCAGAGATTTATTAAAACTACTCATGAAAAATAATATGATGAAGTAGGGTGAATCCAGAACTATGCTGCCTCATATAGGAGCCACTAGCCCCAAGTAGTTATGTATATTCAGGTGCAATTCAATTACAAACTCAGCTCCTCAGCCTCTCCACTCACGTATCACATGCTCAGCGGCCGCCATACTGGTACCCACTGCACTAGACAGCATGGATATATACTCTGCTGCCATCATGGAAGGTGCTGTTGGACTGTGCTGACCTACGGCGGGGAAAAGTCGGCCTGAGGCAGCAGGTCACCCTTTCCTCATTATGAACCCATTATTAACACACTTATTTGCCATAGCATCTACCTTTCCTACCCCTTGGCCACCTGAGGGATAGCTATGCCATTAAGCTCAGAGATAAAACCTTGTTCATTCTTTGCCTATGTGAATTTGCCTATAATTGCTTCTAAATTATAGACAAGATAACCTGGCTCCAGGTGTCTGGCCTTAGCACTAGCAACAAAACTGCACAACAGTAATATTTCTGCTGGTCAGAGGGATGCATTGATTAATTGCTCTCAGTACGGATGGGTAGTCAGGAGCAAAAGAAGTATCGGCTATGGTTCCTGCCACCCCCAGGGGAGGGCTTGGCAGACCCTTGCAGCAAAAGCACTGATACCACACTGGGAGCTCTGTAGTGACCCAGGCCAAAAGTCAGGATGGGTAGGAAAGCCAGTGAAGGCAGGCGCTGGAAGAAGGCATGCTCAGGAAAGGGCTGCTGTATCTCCAGGACTAAAGCTGAAGAACATCTATGATTTTTTTTTTCTGTGATTAAAAAAGAATTTTAAAATTTAGTAATACTGATATTGAAAGATAAGGTATGCATAATCTAATCTGAATTTGTATGTATCCTAGAGGTTTCTGTTCAGTTTTAGTGGCCTAATTTTTGTACTCCCTTTTGTAGCTATTGAAGTCCCTGCCAGTGGGGGTTGGTCAGATATACGGCTGTGATGACCCATGGACAGGGGGCATTTTCCTGGTTGCCATTGTGCTCTCCTCCCCAATCATGTGCCTGCATGCTGCGATTGGATCATTGCTGGGGGTAGTAGCAGGTAAGCACAAGACTGATCACCAAATATTGAACCTCCTCTGTCCCGTGCATGGTCTCACATCTTTTGTACTCCAGACCTTTCTTGAAGACTCTGCCCCTAGGGATCAATGAGAGTTCTCAGGATGCTTCCCTGGACCCCACAATCTCACCTCAGGCTCACCCCAGAGCGCCCTGCCTTTTGTCCAAAGCTCTGACCACTCCTATCTCACCTACCAGGACTCAGTCTTGCAGCTCCCTTCAAGGACATCTACTCTGGACTCTGGGGCTTCAACAGTTCCCTGGCCTGCATTGCAATTGGAGGAATGTTCATAGCGCTCACCTGGCAGGCCCACCTCCTGGCTCTTGCCTGTGGTGAGTATCCCACATCCGGGGTGGGGAAGGTTGCTCAGGACAGTGGATCAAAGTCAATGACAAGCAATAAAAGAGCACTTCATGAGAAATTAGGGTTATAACTCTAGCTTGGGCTCACTTGCTGTCTCGCTGTGTGATGAAGGCAAGGGATGTTCCCTCTCTGAGAGTGCTAAAATCACCCGTGCCTTCCTCACTAGTTATTGTGAAGATGGGAACCTCTGGGGCCCTATTAACCATTCTACACTATATAAATTTTGAGAGATAGACACTAGACCTGTCCTGTATTTTCATGTTTATTGTTTGGACAAAAAAATCTAAAAGGAAATCAGCTAAAAATACAGAGCCATGTTTCTTGGTGAGTCAGGTGAGATCACATGTGGCTCTCTGTGAATTGTCTTAATCCAGCCATCTTCAGACTTCAGCATGCATCAGAAAACTGCCTGGAACGCTCCTTAGACATTGCTGGGTCTGAGCTACATCTTCAGGACTTCTTTAAAAGAATTTTTTTTTAATTTTGAGAAAGGATCTTGCTAAGTTACTAAGCTTCCCAGACTGGGCTCAAACTTGTGATCTTCTGCCTCAGCCTCCCAGAGTGTTGAAATTATAGGCATGCATCACTATGCCTGGTTTAGCGTCTCTTTCATACAGATTTTTATGAGAACATTAGATTCACTCAGATGGATCCTTGATAAGCTCCCCATCATCTCAAGGTCTTTGCCTTAATCACAGCTGCAAAGTCCCTTTTGTCATGTGAGGAAATATCACAGATCCTGGGGGTTAGCATGTGGACATGCTGGCGGGGCGGAGCATCATTCTGCCCACCGTACTTACCTTCCTTTGCTAGATCAGATATCTTCACTAGTACAGCTCAGTGGTGAGAGCAGTATGTTAAACTAGTTAGGAGCCCACACCCTGGTGTCAGATTGCCTGGAATCCAATCCCACCTCTGTTGCTTATTAGCTTAATGAATTTAAGAAAACTACCTAATTTTTCTGTGCCTCAATGTCCTCATTCTAAAAAACAGCATTGACAATATTGACAATTCCTACCTCATAGAATCAGTCTGACAATGTGTACATAAAGCATATAAAACATAATGTCTAACACTTTGCACTATTTAAGGGTCTGCACATTGTTTCTCTGGTAGCTTTGCATGATTTATTAAGAGACAAGCTTGTTTATTATTTCCTCTCAATTTCTTAAGTTTATCAATACCCAAATATGACTACACCCTAGCCTGCTTCACCTCCTCAGGGGAAGGCTCATGCACTAACAACTGCTGAAATCATGTTGTTATTGTATAGAATGTGCATTTTGGATTTGTTGTGAGTATGCAGAGTTTCTTGTTGTTTATGTTTTGGTTTGGTTTGGTCTAGTTTTGGTATTCGATATTAAACCCTGAGCTGTTGCACTGAGCTACATCCCCAGACACACCCTACCCCTTTGAAACAAGGTCTCACTAAGTCACTAAGTTGCCCACAGTGGGCTGCTGTCCTCTTGCTTCAGCCTCTCAGAGTGCTGGGGTTCCAGGTGTCCGCCACCATACTTCACTAAGTTTTTTGATATTTACTCATTTAGAAGACCATGAACTTTACTAACTTGTGTATTCACCCCAAGCCACCGTAGCTTGTACCAGCTTTCTGTATTTATGTGTCTTCCTGCTACATTACTTCTTCAGACAGAATCTTGTGGGGGAAACTTCTAAAAGCCCTGTATGCCTAATTCACCCTTGACTTCGCCCTTATTTAATTTAGTTTAACTTACTGAAAAGCCCTATATTTAACTTTTTATCTCAATATTGGAAAACTGTCTTCAAAGACTATTCTACTGTCTTTCTATATCCAATATTGCTATTGAGGTATTTGAAAAGAATCTGATTCTTGTTGAAAGTGAATTACATTTTTCTTTGGACTCAGAATTTTCTCTTTGAATATGAGACATACCTTTGCCTACTGTCCGTCAAGATGTAGGTTTTGTTCTTTTCCTGTGCTACTAGATATTCAAGTCCTCTCAGTGTGAGTCCTCATTTCTTCTTTTAACTCTGGCATATTACCAGTTTTCACTTATTCAAATCTTTTCTCTCCAGTTATTTTTCCCTCTCCTTCTGGGATTTCTATTGTTTGAACATAATGTTTTATGTTCATTTTTCATCATTCTTTACCTTTTCTTAGTATTTCACAGCTCCAGCTTAGTTAGTTAATCAGATCATTCTTTGGCTCTATCCATTATGCTGATCATGTCATTGACTGAGTTCTTCATTCTTGGCTCATTAATTAAGATTTATCTGCTCTGTAAGTGGTGTTTCCTTTGATGGCACCTGCTTCCTTTGGGTGCCCCCTTTCCTTGCCCTGGGAACTTGCTTTCCTAGGGATACCAGATGTTTGAATGATGAATCTACGCTAGGGTCAAGCTGGCCTCTTCCCAGATATGTCTGTGTGGTCAGGAGAAGAGAGCTCTACCAGGCAGAGTGCAGAGTCTCTACATTGGAGGCAGTGGAGGTAGCAACCCTGCAGGTGCCTTACATGACAAGCCCCTGCTTGCTGGAGGAAATTTACATGGCTTCCAGTTTGGAAGCATTTCAAACACTGCTTCAATAAGTACAAATATCCTTGTATATTTTGTATAAGTATTTATATTACATGTATTTCTACAAGCCGAAGTGATGATTGAAAAGGAATACCAATTGTACTTCCCATAGATGCCAGATCCATCCCCCAAAAGAGCCATATCAGTTTCTGCTGCAGGTGGCAATGTGTGACAGCATCCCCACTAGGTCCTATCAGACTTTTTAATCTCTGTATGTGAATTTTTGAGACAGACCCACATTCCTTTTATAAAGCAAGTCTCACATGTAAAATGCCACAGCAAGTTTCAGCTTGCCCACGTCACCTGGACACTGCCAGACAAAACGCCAACCTTGTGTGGCAAGGTGAATAAATAACAGACATTGGTTACAGAAGTGTTATTCCAAATTTCTGTATCAGGAAGAGGACTCAGGAAACTTATAGCACCTAGCAAAGCTGTCATCCCTGCCTCTAGATTGCATGGCCATAAAATGTCCCAATTCATTATGATATCTGTGGATGCTGTAAGCACGCTTTGTCTCCTGTTGACACTGTCCACAAAGAGCTTGCATCTGGTCTTTCCTCCATGTTCAAGGGCCTTTTCTCTTCCTTGCCTACCAAAAATGCTGTCGGATAATTATCTATAGGCTGAACATGGTGTGCAGAGGTCCCCCTCTGCTATAAGGCTTTCCCAGCTCTGCTAGCAAATCCTGATGGATGAACACCTACCTTTTAATAGTCTTACACTGTTACTGTGGAGGGGAAGCAGCTTAGATTGGAGATCACTCCAAAACAGCCCAACAGTATGAAACACAATTGAAAGTGTGCCCTAGAAGTCCAGGACACTGACAAGAGAGGTTGGCAATAAGGTCAGAGGTGGTGTGGTAGTGGAGCTGGTACTCATGAAAGCAGGTATAGGGGGTAGTTGGTGCTTAGCAGAGGGCCAGAGAATAGCTATTGAATGGGTGAACTACATCTTTAAAATGAATGAAATTGATGAAACCAAGGAGGAAGGAAACCTTTCAACCCACATCATAAGCACCCTGTCCTTCAGAGCAGTGTCTCTATCTCAAGTGATCAGGACCCATTTACCACTATTGTTGGTGGAAACACATGCTTTCACTGGAGATTCATCACCTCCCTGTAAAGCAGATTTTTCAAGTTGCCTTTTTCCAAATGACAAAACAAGATTCTGAAAAATTCATTGATTTGTTATGCCAGAAATATAATGGCAGAGCTGGGATTCAAAACCAAGACTGTTTCCAAAGACCAGCCTTTCCCACTAGCATGAGGCAACTCAGATAAGAAATAATTAATTGTACTACTGAATAGGAAACACAAGAGTGAGGGAATATATATATATTTTTTTTTCTCCAAGTAAATAACATAGGATGTTTACTTATTACCTATATGCCAACCTTGGGAAGTTATTATTGGGAAAATATTATTGTGGGTAAAGATCTTAAATTTTTGTTAGGTTTTCTGAGTTCTTGCTTGCTTATTGCTATATACCATAGTTTTCTGTAGCTGTGAATTGTAACCATTAAAATGAGAGTCCTAGATGTAGTGAGATTGTACAGAAACCACGCTAACTCCAACAACATTTGTTAGTTTCACTTAAATTCGGTTACGCTTAACAAAACAACAAGGGGATGTACTTGCTACGAAAGGCTTTTCCCTTAAGTATCAGCTATAATAACAACAATACAGTACCATAAAACTGCTTGTACTGAGCATTTACTGCATCTAAACATAAACATTTCCTTCATATTCACATAACTCAGAGAGAGATAATCCCTTATATTCTTCATACAGGTGAGAAAGTAGAGGCTTAGGACAGAGTTCAAAGAGCTCCTAAGTGTTAAAGGCAGAATTTTAACCCAGAGCTACTGACTCTAGGTTCATATTGCAATTAGGCTTGTAAGCTAGCTGGTGGAATGCGTAAGGGTGCCATCTAGGAGATTTGTATTGGAAACAGTCTTTCCAGTGATTTTGTACATTAAGCAAATATTGTTCTCACCCCCACCTTTTTTTTCATTTGTAGCCCTGTTCACCGCCTGTCTTGGGGGCACCTTGACAAATCTAATGGCTTACGTGAGTTTGCTTCAGTTTCACTTTATCATCATATGATTGACCAGCTTTCAATTGTATAGAAAACTCTCTTGAAGTCTACTTGGGTGGCAGGCATCAAGCAAGAGGACCCATGACTATGATAATAACCAGTCCTCCTGCTACTAAAGCTCTCTGGCCCCTCTTGCCTTCTAACATCACAGTAAACTACAATCACCAGGCTTGTTAGAAATATCAGATTGCTTGGTTAAAAGAGTAACTTTAAAATAGCTTTATTGATAACTGTACAACGTATTAAATTCATAAACCAACTCTGAATATCTAGAAATTGACTGCAGAATATAGCTGTCTTTAACAAAAAAATCAGAATCATGTAGTAGTTGAGATATTAGGAAAGGGAGGAAAAGGATAATGAGCGAAAGACCCAGATGTTATTACTGGGTTGTTTTACATATAATCAGTAACCCTTTTATGCCTCTTACTCTATTAAATCCCCAGGCAGTCGTCAGTAAGGCTTCTCAGCCCCATGTTCTGGCTGGATTATTAGGCAAATCTTCACCCATTAACTGTTTTCTGCCATCGTTTCTCCTTCCTTTCCAGTATTGTTCTCCTGCCCTCTGACCACTTGCCCCTTCCCTGAGGAGCCTACTCTCCCCTAACTGGTCCAGTGTCCCCCACCTCCCAGTGCCTGAACTTTTTTGTCTTCCTCCCCCACCTTTGCAAGAGATGCAGGGCCAGTTTCTGGTAGCTTAATCCATGTCAATGTGTTTGCTATTGCTAATGAGTGAGGGCAATGTCTGGATTTCTCAGCATAGAAGCATAAAGATTTTATCTGGAAGGGTCTTTATAGAGTTTAGCATATTTATGTTGGGAAGCCAAAGTTCCATTACATGGGGGTAGTACATCAGAGCACTGTGGAGCCCTTCACACCCCAGCAAAGAAAGTTCAGAAGCATCAGTACATGGAACAGAATCGCAAAACCTGCACAACTGAGTCAGTTAGGAAGATTTTGAAAAACATAGATCCTTAGGTGCTATCCCTTGTTGTTCAGACAGAGTAGATAAGATGCATAAATCTTATGCTTCTGATACACAGTCAGGTTTCGTTACGCCCATACTCCATCACACCCGGTGGGGTCCATGCATGAGATCAGAGCTAATTGATGAAGTATGCTCAGAATTGGGTGAGCTGTGGGACAGCACAGAAGACAGACCTACCCTTGAGAAGCTTAAAGTCTGTTTGAGAGACAAAAGGGCAAAAACTAAAGCAAGACTAAGTAGAAATCAAGATCAGAGAGGTCCCCATAGCCTGGACTAGTCAGAGAGGGCCTTGTGGATATGATGAGTGTTCAGGGGCCATTAGCAATTTGCTAGCATCATCTCCATGTGCCACGTGTCATCCTTGTACACCTGGTGTAAGAAGTCCAAATGTTTGAGAAGGAGGGAAAACATACAAGATAGAGAGATAATTGGATGGAAACATTTCAATTTCTAAATGCCCTGCGACCTTAAACTAATCCTCCATGGGCATAAACAGACCTCAGAGCAATGCCCCACTGATTCTTCTCCCAGGGTGAAAGTCGAAAGTGTTGCTAGGTGACAATTAGTTCTCAGATGGGATTTCAAAGGAATATGTGGCCTGTCTCTTCTTCCCTAGGTTGGACTGCCATCTTGTACCTGGCCTTTCTGCTTGGCCACACTGCTGTTCCTTTTGGTGACCACAACAAACTCCAATATCTACAAGATACCCCTCAGTAAAGTTACCTATTCTGAAGAGAACCGCATCTTCTACCTACAAACCAAGAAAAGGATGCTCGACAGTCCTTTGTGAGAGCAACCCCACCCCGGCCATGGTCACAGCCATTTCTGACAACTGGTTCAGCTGACTTGCAGGAGCTCAGCACACTTATTCTTCACCAGAAACAACTTACATATATATTCTCATCCATCTGTTCTTTTCCTTTTTCTTTTTGACTCCAGAAAAATCCTTGAGCCTATGAGAGCCACATCCAGGTGATGTGCTCTGGTATGGAATTTTAAACCCCAGTAGGGGTTGGCACTAAGACTGTAATGTATTTATAACATTGAAATGCTCCAACAGAAAGTAGTGAAAGTGGAGCTAATCATTGATATTTATTGATATTTTTGGTGTAGAGTTAGCCAGGTGAAGTTAACAGTATTAAAAATTAAACTTTATTAACTGGCTAAGCCTTATGGAATTCATGGTCACAAAAGTAAAGTTAACCCAGAGTTCTCAGATATAAACAATTTGGCTTTGTAAAATCCATGCAAGTGACATGTTGCAGTTTTGGTCAACACCGCAGGGATACAGGCTGATCATTGGATCTCCAGTTCCCCCTCAGAGTAGCCTCCATACTGCACAGTGTATGTGTATGTGTATGTGTATGTGTATGTGTATGTGTATGTGTTTCTCTTACGAGATATGATTGGTTGTTTTTCAGGCTGACAACTGCAGGAGGGAGAAAGGGGTTTTGTCAATCAAAATTATTTGATATTGCCACTTTTCTCAGAAATTGCAAATAGTCTTTTCAGTAAGTTTTATTATTTTTCTTAAGAGAAAATAATTTGTTTTCAGTGAGGTAAAATAACAGAAGTTCCTGGATTAACCAGTCTTTGAACATTAAAGAAAATTTACATATTTATGAAAATAATCAACATAATCATTTATGAAATACTTGGCACATTTTTATTTTAATCCTTACATGATTCTATTAAATATACAAAATCACTATAAGCAGCCCTTTAAAGTCACATTTTAATTTATTTGAGAATATCTTATAAAGACTGGTCATTAAAGTCAAATTGCTTGTAGGTATTACTTTTAGAAATTGCTAGATTTCCTTTGTAAAAACTTTTTATTTTCTCTATACTAAGAATATTCTTTCTCAGAAACCATTGGTGTTTGAACTACCAAAAGAAATACAGATAAATAATTATCCTGTTTTCCTTATTTTAAATATAAAAGTTATGATTCCTGTAAAGGTCCTATGATCAAACATGTTCACACCACCTTCCTCCTCCATACATTTCTATTCAGCATTTTCGAGGCTGGAAAAGTGGAACTTTGAAACAGGGCAGTAAATAAACCTAAAAATATTTTAGGGAGAAGTTCCCTTCTTCCCCTTCTCAGATACTGTTCCAATTTTTAAAAACCTCTGACCAAAGCCTTTTGAAACCATGAAATTGCAACTGTCACAGATTTATGGGTATTCCTGTGGAAAAACTGAATTCTTAGTGTTTGAACTGAAATCTTCCTTATTATGGAATTTGTGAAATAAGAGTTGGGGAAAAGGGGGGAAAAAAGCAAACAGGACCAAAGATTCTCAGCAGTGAAGAATCTGCATGTAGCTGAGCAAAGCAGAGGCCTCAGACATGAACCCAAGTTGACCTTCAGAACCAAGCTCTGCTATGTTCATGGCAGCACCTTCTCCCCATAGGCTCACACAGATCCACAAACAGGAATATTTTAAAGCCTTGTGCGTTGTCTTATTGAAGTGATATTAATTTTCTCAAGCTATTTTTGTTACTGAGTATTATCCTAAAAATCAAGTGAGAATTCTTAGGAACACATGTATTTATTTTACTACTGTCTGTAATAACAAATTCCTGTGTAGGCATATGAATAAACTATATTCACAGATCAGTTTGTGTCGTGTGTCTTTCATAACTGTTATGGATGTGATCGTCAGATGTAGAAGAGAATAGTGCTTACATTTTGATGTTCTATAGCCCTTGTTCCTTTCGTATACTTAGTCATAGCACCAGATGGGTAATTGAGCAAATCAAGTTCAACTCCTGACTGATGGACCCATTCCCTTTGGGTGCCATTATTGTCCTGACTCAGGGATGAGAATGAGTTACTTAAGACAGTTACAGATGTTCAGGACATGCTCCTGAAGCTATAGCCAGTGTCCTGAGAGCCACTTCTTTGCGTTAGCACAGGTCCTGAGTAACCTGTCCATGAGCACCCGTGGGCTCAGCTTCTCCGTCAAGCCATGTCTCAGAATATTATGTCCTGAGAATGAAGATACAGGCTTTCATCAGGGCTAGCTTACTTGAAACAAAACACAGTGAGGATGGAAATGTACTTCAACAAGTCCGGGTGATGAGTTCTGAAGAAGCACAAACAGGAAGCAAAAGAAGCCACAATGAGCTGCCCCATAGAAGTGCCTTTCGTCAAAACAAAACCTCTCTTTACCTACTGTTTTAGGGTGCTATATTTACCACCACAATTTTAACATTAAATGTCCTCTTTTATCTGAGAAAAGACAGATGATTTTGAGGCTCCAGACACCATATACACTTATAAGCTAGAGGTGACAATTTGCGCATTACCCACTGCTATGGTTTGAAAGAGTCCCCAAAGTTCATATGTCAGAAATTTAAACCCCAATGCAATAATGTTGAAAGATAGGACCTTTAAGAGGTGATAAGGGTATAAGGAATGCTCCTATCAGGGAAATGGGGTCCTAATGAAGTGATGAGTTACCCTCTCCTCTCCTCTTTTCTCTCTCTCTCTCTCTCTCTGTCTCCCATCTTAGAGACAAAGCTTTCCCAAGAGCTCCCCCAAAATATTTATGTCTTTCTGGTATAACTGGGTCTTATGGCTGTTCCTGCTGCAAAGGAATCTGGGAAAGCATGCATACAGTATTATCAGCTTCTGAGGAAACAGGTGAGCTCTGCCATATTGGAACAAAAGCAGAAGGTATGGCTATTCGACAGGTTGCCAACATGTCTTCCAAAGCAGTAGATAGTGCGACTGCACAGTATATAGTATCACCAATGTTCCCACAGCAGAGAACATCAAGTAACAATAGGCAAGATTATTGTGGGGCCCATCAAGAAGTTTGAGACAGAGACCTGCACCGAAACCTTTTACACAAGGTTATTTATACAAGGTTATTTAGCCTCTAACAAGATTTTAAACAAATGATAAGACATGATAAAAATCAGGCAAGGAAAGCTTAGAATCAATTCATGCTCTAATTAATTATCTTGGGCTAATGGTCAAAGCTTCTAAATCATTCCATGGAGAAGGCACCATTGGAAGGGGTTGTGTTTCAATTCAGTTCCAGCTCAATGAAGCACTGAAAACAAGTGTCCAACATTTTCTGGTTCGTGGTTCCAGATAAACAATAAGAAATTCAGTTTCCTGTTTGGGTTCAGTCCATTGGATCCCAGCCCACTGAAGCTTTGAATTATATTGCAATGACAAACAAGGACTTTAAGGGGAAGAAATGAAGCACACAGAAAAGTTGGCACAGTACTGGGAAACCTGGCTAAAATTAAGTCCCTCCCAACACAGGGAAAAAATGGCAACCAGGACATGAGTCCGTGGCCCAAAGGCAAGTGCATCTTAGAACAAGAAGAGCACACACAGGCAGTCCATAGAACTGCTCAACCCAACTAAGAGACCTTTCGAATTCCAAGAGCCCCATGTTGGCCTCTCAATGAGGAGCTAAATTCGCACTGTCAAATACAGCAACAATTGTATCACTCTGAAATAAAGCTAGTCTAAATTGAGATCTGCTTCACAGGTTGTTATGGTTTGTCTGTGTGTCCCCCCAAAGCCTCACCCGGCCATGGGGCAGGCTTTTAGAGTTGATTGAGGTGTGAGAGCTACACCCACCCTGGGGTGGATAGTTTGCATATGTAAGGGAGAGGAAAAGGGTGCTTGAGGCCATTCCTCCCCCAGTCCTCGCTGGGGTGTGGTTGTTGCTTTTGCTGTGTTCTGCCGCCATGAGCTGTAGCTCTCTGCCATGTGCCACTCTGCCTTATAATCTGCCAAGTACAGACTGAAACCTCCACAAACTGTAAGCGAAATAAATCTTTCCTTCCTTAATTTTGGGTGTCTGGTATTTTGTCCCAGCAGGGAGAAAAAAAGTAACCAAGACACAGGTAAAGTACACACCAGATTTCCATAGCTTAAGCCAAAAGAGCAACTTGGTATCTCAGTAATTTTTATTGATGTAATGTTAAAATGACATTGCTTTGGATATACTGGACAAAATAAAATATAATTTTTAAATTAATTTCACTTTTTGATTTTTTAATGTAAGCACTATAAATTTTTAAATTACATACCTGCCTTGTATTTGTGGCCCACATTTCATTTCTGTTGGGCAGCACTGAGCTAGACAGTACCTCAGCCCTGGGCTCGGAGTCTCCAAGGTAACTCAGATGGCCCGAAGGTGCTAGAACTCACACAGCTAGAGAATTCGTTTGTTCCTTAGAACGAATGCTGAATAAGAAGTGTTTTCTCTGTTACATTGTGGAGAAAGAGCTTCTATCTCAAGGAGTGTCTATCACAAGTCCCTCTCTTCAAAGATTATAATTGTCACCTTACACCTTTCCAAGAATACTATGCCATGTACACTTGAGGATATTCATTTTTAAAATAAGTAATAGCACAAATACAGAGGGAGGAGACTGGTTTTCTTTGTGTAGATAAAGTTATTCTGAAGTCTGTACCCAAGGAAGGGCTTAAAAAATACTCAGAGCTTGGTCAGCATTGAAGGAAGTGAGCTGCCTCCCAATGTGCACATGTGCAAGATGATTCTCATCTGGATGTGTAAGTGCACCTCAACCACGAGCAATGAAAAAGTAATCACCTAAATATAGGTAGTGGGGAAGCATAGAGAGTACAGCAAACTGAAGATTGAACATCTCACCTAAAAGCACTCACCTTCAGATATTTTTTACACTGGGCTGGCCAAACAGCATGTATGAGGTTTGGATTTCTTCTGCAGATTCCATTTTGCAAGTTCTGCTCACAGACACCTCTTATAAATACTCTGTAATGTTTCTCAACCAGGAACACTTATGCAAATTGTGAATAAAGGCCTTTTAAAAATCCCAGGTTAATGGGTTCATGCTTACAATCTCAGCACTTGAGAGGCTGATACAGGATGGACTGCAACAAGTTCAAAGCCAGCCTGGGATACCTAGCAAATTTCAGGCCAAACTGAACTACATAGTGAGACCATGATTCAAAAAAAATAAAAATACAAATCCAGTTGTTCCCATCCCATGTTAAACCTTGTGAATCTAAATTTTTAAAGCATTAAGATGATTTTAATGGGCCCCTACATTAAAGCAAATGCAAGTTCAGAAAATTCAAGGAGCCCTGAAGCCTCGAGTAACTGAGGTTGGCTTCCTGGAGGAAGTGCAACTCCACCCTTGTTCTGATATATTTCCTCCTGGCTCACCTGGACTTGGCTTTGGGAGTTTCCTTGCGATGTCTTGGATTCTTTGATTACTGCCCTTTCCAGAACCACTCTAGGATCAAAACAAATGATGCTTTTACCAAGGAGCCATGTTTGTTGTTGTTTCTTCGTTTTGTTTTGTTTTTCTTCCGGTACCAGGAATCAAACTCATGACCTTGCACTTGCCAGGCAGGTGCTGTGCCGCTGAGCTAAATCCCCAGCCCCACCAAGGAACCATGTTTTAGCAGGTTCTGCAGCTCACACTGCAGACAGTTATACAGAAAGTGTGTCAGGTTGTAATTTAATATAAAATATCATTTCTTTACAAGTTGGAGTTTAAGGATCCCTAAGGTGAATTAGAAATGTGCACACACCTGCTATCAGGATTGATTCAGTCATAGTTGCAGTAGATCAGGCCAACACCTGCATTATGTGACCTGAGAGGACTGGTACCCTAAGATGACTTCACCAGCCATCCATCATGGAACATAAAATCTCTCCAATCATTCCCTTGAATTTCCAATAACTGTTTTCCAATACTAGGGAATGAACAGGGCTTTTGCACTGAGCTGAATCCCTAGCACTTTTTATCCTCATTTTTACCTTTTAAGACTGATGGGTTTTCCACCTTAATAAAAATTCTGCTAAGGTATCATGGCAGAGAGCCAATATGGTACAGCCCACTGGAGGCCATGTGGCCGGCTCCGTCTTCCTCCCCTATAGTCATATTACAACTTCCTACTTCCTTTTCTACAACATCCTGTTTCCCTCTTCCCACTCCCTGTCCAACCACTGCCTGCCAAGTCACACAGACCATCCCCCAAGCCCCGCCCCCAGCCTGGCCCTGTACAGCCTTTATTTTCCCAGCCAGGCCCTCAGAAGCTCCACATCTCTCCTTTCTGCTGTGGTCTTCTCTGTGCCCACAATAAAGGCATTTTTTACTTTGTTCTGTTTCTACTTGTGCCAAAAAAACTAAGAAAGATAAGTTCTCACTAAATCCCCTTGGCTAGGCTTGAGCTTGTAGTCATCCTGTATCAGCTTCCCAGAGTACTAAGATTGCAGGTTTGCACCACTGCATCCAGTAAAAGAGTATTGTATTGTTGTAAGAAAAGCAACACATTAAAATCTCAGATATTAACCCCCTGGTTGAATTAGTTTCTGTCTGGTCCCTTCCCACCTGATAGCAAGAGAGTGCTATAGAAAAAAAGATTCTAGAAAGCTTAGTTTAGATGGGTAAATTAAAAAATCAGGGCAGAACCTGGTTCATGCAAAACCAGGGCATACAGAGGAAGTGAACACAGAGAAAGAAGAACATACAAGAGGAAAACAAGGATAATACACCGTTTAAGGCATATTCCCTGCTGAACACATCACAGAGAAGAGAGGAGCCAGTAGAGAAGGACCAGAAACAAATCAGGAGGGAGCTTGTGCCAGCAAG